GAAAGGATCGTTCGATCCTTAAAAATGATCATGACCTACAGGTTGAGAACCACTGATAGAAAGGGTTGTATCCGTTGTTAATTCGATGTATTCTTGTGTACACTCATGTGTATTTAAAAAAGGTCCTAATGGGTTTCCGGGGGGAAGGGGGGAGGAGTAGACGACCCCTGTAAATGTTGATTTGAGGATCGACATCACAGCACTCTAGACATTTCCATAAGTGCTCAGTCCCCATCTTCAGCAGTAAACTAAGAGTTCCAATTCCAATGGTTCTCGTAACTATATGATTGTATATCCGTCTCATCCTTCCCCTGAGTGTTGAGCATCGGCCAGATCCCTTGGTAACTCCTCGCAGTGCCATTCTTCTTAGACCATAATGACCTGTGTGCACCTCCCCATGGTTGGCTCGCTCCCAATATCTAACTTGTCATACATCAATTCACCATCAAGTGGTGCAGAGCCAGCCAATCTATCATTTCCCAACACACCGACTGACCTGGACAGCAGATGCAAACAAGGCTAAATGGGAACAATTTTTCTAGCGAAATTGGACCCCTGTGAAAGAAACAGCCAGTAGTATGCAACTGACGAGATACAGCCAAATATGCCAGGCAGGATCTATTTGTTTTTTCTCTGTTCAGATTCACAACATGGGAAACATTTACTTTGATTTTCATATTAAAATTGTTAACTTTGTTTTTTTATATGGGCTGCTGGTTTTAATTGTTAAACATTATATCAAAGTTTCTTTCACATTCAATTATTTAGTAAACTGAATTACTGTATCAGGATACTGTGTTTATCTGAAAAATGTGTCCCAACAACTCTGTATAAGAGAACTAAAGATTAGCTTATACAGGACCTTCGAAAGAACAAACAGAAGTTCCTTATATCTCCTCCTAATACTTCAATGCATTCCCCGTGTGGGTTCCAGGGCCCTATTATAGGGAAAACAAGAATAGACCCACTAGCCTGCTCAAAAGCATGTCGTAAGAGTCGAGTAATCGGAGCTTTCTTCGAAGTCGGAGTGCATCTGCCTGAAAGGCAAGGAACCAACAGTCTGCATACAAATGAGTCAGATCTATAAAACGGATGCAGACAAAACACTCAGGTTCTGGAACAGGACTGCAGTCCAGAAGTGGATGAACAACCAGAACTTTCCGCCACAGTTTATAGCTGGTGAACGTGAAGAAGAAGAAGAGACTTGATGCATAAGTGAGGGAAGAAGATGAAGACAGAAGGAACAGCAGAGGAAGGAGAAGAAGAACAAGTAGTAGTAGTAGTAGTAGTAGTAGTAGTAGTAGTAGTAGTATTAGTAATAGTAGTAGTAGTAGTAATGGTAGAGAAACACAATCAACTAAAAATAAAGTTTCCTATCAGTTCACACAAGTTGTGGTGTTTCTATTGATAGTACATGTTATTGTTTTGTGCAGTGTTAACAATTCTATTTAGTAATGTTATGTTCAATGTGTGAGTGAGTGACTTTCAACCCTGCACGATGAGCAATTACCACCTGATGACACAAAGTGCCACCATCTGGATGAGAATCCCTCAAGTGAAAGTCCCAGAAACCCTGTTTAACAATTAGGTTATATTAGAGCCCCGACCACAGCTGCGGTGAGGCTTCAAAACAACAAACTTGCATCCAATATTGGAACAAAGGGTTAACAACAGTGTGTGCTGCAATTCTTTGTAATATGCAGCCTCAGGGTAGACCTACATCAGAAAATCGCAAACATCAAGGGATATATCATGGAACAGTTGTGTTTGCTGTTGTTCTATTCTACTGCAATATGCCAGGATGGTATTGCTGACTTATGGAAGTGTAGAGAAGAACATATATCTGAAGTACCCCTTGTACACCAATGGCACATCAGCCATCTGGAGCTGTCGTGCGTTTCAAAACTCAAGCTGTAACAATTTTATAAATATCATGAAAACTGCATGTCTATTGTGGTCTCGCATGTCCTTATAATTCCGTAATTTACAATTGCGTGGATGCTGCTGTTTTCTTAAAGCAGCTAATATCTTTGATCTTTGACCAATTTCTGTACCCTTGAAAAACTGAATATACAGTAACTGACAAGCATGTGGAGATTCTGTGGAAATCAGTTCACATAAGCAGTGATGCATAGTGATTATTATAATAGCCTATTCCCTATTATATGAAAAATCCACAACTCATGGGGGACTAATGCTGGAGATGACCACCTGAAACATCTATGACGCACGTGCAATCTGATGTTTTGAAAATTTCCCTTTATTAAAGTTACTGTAAGCATGCTGACTGTTTACTCTGAATCAGTGTCTGTGATTTTTTTTTTCCATGTGCCGCAAATAAGGCAAAATAAAAACTAGATGTTTGTTTATATTATTTTTTTAAATACAAGGACATGATTATAAACAGGTTGCATGCCAAATTTCAACAATTTACACTAACGTTTACAAAAGTCATCCCTATGTGGGATGCAATTTTTTTTTTTTTTTTGAAGTCCTGAATATAGCTGGGGCATAGATATGGCCTAGCAGCTGAAAAGGGTTTCTGGAACCTCTCCACAGGTGATCCTCATCTGCATGGTGGCACTTTGTGTCACCAGGTGTTTATCGTTTGTGTGATGTCCTGGTGGGGTACAACTTACCTGCCTAGCTACCTACTTAACGGTTACTGAGTTGCAGATATTTAAAGTTCAGTAGGACTCCTGGAACAATCTAGAATACAATGTGGAAATGAAGTATACTATGTCCTTCAACATCTGCTAAAGTCAAAATGTCTGTCCCGCAACACCAAGATCAAAATATCAAAAATGTTAATCAGACTAGTTATTTTATATGGCTCTGAAACATGGAGCACAACTAAAGGAGATGAAGCTTTATTACAGGTTTTTGAAAACAGTCTTACGACAAATCTTTGGACCCATCAAAGATGCAAACAGAGGGAAATAAAGAGTGAGGAGCAATAATGAAATTCATAATCTGTTTAAATCACCAATGATCACTGGCATCATGAGAGCTAAGACTAAAATGGTTGGGGCATATTGAAAGAATGTCAGGTGATAAAGAAGTAAAAACTGTATACACAAGGGAGATGAATGGTCGTAGACCACGAGGCAGACCAAGAAGACAATGGAGAGATAATGTCCAGACAGACCTGCAAACACTTGGTGTCACCAATTGGCAAGAGAAGGCCAACCAGAGAGATGAATGGAGGCAGGCGATATCTGCACCAATGAAGCTCAAGGGCTCGGAATGCTGAAGAAGAAGAAGGAGAAGAAGAAGAAGGAGAAGAAGAACAAGAAGAAAAAGAAGAAGTAGGAGAAGAAGAAGAAAAAGGAGAAGAAAAAGAAGGAGGAGAAGAAGGAGGAGAAGAAGAACAAGAAGAAGAAGAAGAAGGAGGAGAAGAAGAAGAAGAAGAAAGAGGAGAAGAAGAAGAAGGATTTCTGGAACAGACTACAAATATTTTTAAATATTAATCTGTCCTTAGTGGGAGATGAGGTCACATTTCCACTGCGGCCACCCTCCACTATGCAAACAGCCCACATTTCATGTCTTTGCTTCTCTGTATGCAGTGTCCCCTTTCCACCTCCTGTGTGTTGCTTGCTTCAATGGTGACTCCTCAGAAAAAATGTCTGAAGTCTGATACTAGGGGGTCATCTCAGCTCAGAAATGGGCCTAATCTATCCTCTTTCTTTCCTTCTTTCTCCTGAATCTATGAGTGCTAATCAGTACATAATAGTAATCTTTTAGAGTGAGGCTGATATACAGCAAAGCTGTTTAACTGGTGGGCCAAATCTGGCCTAGCAAGTGGCCTGCGGTTCATCGTCAACTTCTTCTTTTGTCATCTCACTGTTACCAGGTTGTAACCTAGTGTCAAGTTTTTTCTGTATTTGTCATGCCCTTCTCAGGTGCCTTAAGTGATGGATTTGTTCGACTTTTTTGCAGGTTACATCTATACCATATATCCATCGTCCACTGTTTTGTAATAATTATCTTTTTTGTGCTGCGGCTCGGGTCTCTGGCCCATGACCATCTCCATTTTCACCACGCTGGTCCCTGAGTGAATTCAGTTGGATCACCCTGGTGTAGAGACTTCGTCTTGATCCAGTATCAAAATGCATTCTCCATGGGGACTGTACTGCAGACCCCTCCTACTTTTCCTGCCCAGAGACTAGTGGGGTTTCTTATGCACATTTGTGGTATCAAGTTTTTACTGTTAAGCTGGCTTGTACAGAGTTCAGAAAATGGCATATACATGACTGCTGCAACAACTGAACATAGAATCACCTGGTCACATACAAATCACCTGGTCATATACAAATCACCTGATCACATACAAATCACCTGATCACATACAAATCACCTGGTCATATACAAATCACCTGATCACATACAAATCACCTGATCACATACAAATCACCTGGTCACATACAAATCACCTGGTCACATACAAATCACCTGATCACATACAAATCACCTGATCACATACAAATCACCTGATCACATACAAATCACCTGATCACATAGAAATCACCTTGTCACATAGAAATCACCTGATCACATAGAAATCACCCTGTCACATTTAAATCACCCTGTCACATAGAAATCACCTGATCACATACAAATCACTAGATCACTTACAAATCACCTTGTCACATAGAAATCACCCTGTCAAATACAAATCACCTGGTCACATACAGATCACTAGATCACTTACAAATCACCTTGTCACATATAAATCACCTTGTCACATATAAATCACCCTGTCACATACAAGTCACCTGGTCACATGTCAGTCACTATTTGGAATATAACAGATTGCGCAGTTGTAACTGACGCACGTAGTTTTCTGTATTTGTCTTGCCCTTCTCAGGTGGCTTAGTGATGGGTGTGTCCATCTTTTTAACAGGTTTCAGCTACACCATTTATCCATCTCTTTCTTGGTCTTCCTCTCACCTTCCACCCAGATGTTCTGCTGCCAAAAGTCTGATAAGAATTTCAGAAAGTCAGTACTGATGAATGTTGGTTTCAGAAACTCCCATGTCTGTCAAGTATGTCACCATGTCCTTGTTAAAAGATCGCGGTCCACAGATGAGAACCAGAGTTTTATCAATATCCCCACCTGCCATTTCCCGAAGGATAATGTCCTTGTCTATGTGACCACGGTAGATCTCCTCTCCTCTCTTGTACTTGTACGTGGGTATCACAGGCTCCTGGTTAATCAAAATTGAATATTTGAAAAGATTTATCTACTAAGAATAAAGTCAAATGCTATGTGTTTTGCATATATTAAGTTCAATGTTCATTTAAAGATCATCTTCACTGCACATAAGTAGGTTAAAAAAGAAAAAGTAAAGGTCCCTTTTCACGCCTTTAGGCGTATAGGGCATATAGGACTAGACCTTTATTTTTATAAACCAATCAGCACAAGATGAGTGATGTGGTCAGCATCACGGCAGCCGCCTTTACTTCCCGGAACTGCACCCGTACCCACTCAAGGCTGGGTCAATGTGGGAGTCAAGGTCATTTTTTAAAAAAAGTCCAGCTCCGCCAGGGAGTGAACCCACGACCTTCCGATCCGCACACGAGCGTCTAGTCGCTATGCCAGGGTGACTTCCATTGCACTTCAGACATGACCATGAGGTCAGATCATACTAACTGCACTGATTTATGTTGTCTGGTAACAGGTCTTACACCGACCCAGACTTGGGAGAGCTCTATGTTTCACAGTCTATCCATGCACTAGTTGATCCCTATGCTGGCCAGTGTTTCAAGGATTGTCCTGCCATTCTTCAATGTGAGCTTTCAGAACTATCCTCAACGGCATATGTTTTCTGAGGTTGGAGAGGGAAATGCAAGCTCTGCAACACAGTTCCCATAGAGATTATATTTCAGTACTAAGCCCAGAAGACAGTCTATACATTAACCTGACATAATGTTGCAATCCTGATCTCTGGTTCTAAATCAATCACTTTTTCTTCTAACCCATGCTGCGTGGCGTTGGTGTCTCTCTCCAGAGCCTTCTGCTCGGTGCACTGTTGATTTCTGATACAGATATTTGTCCACGATATGATGCTACATATTTTTTTCCTGTGTAGATTCTGGGATCCCATTGTGGGGAAAAAATAACAGACCCACTGTCTTCCACCAAGCATGTCGTAAGAGTTGACTAATTGGGGGTTTCCTTCAAATTTGGACTGCATTTGCCTAAGAGGCAAGGAACCAGCATACTGCAAACAAATAAGCCAGATCTGTAAAATAGATGTGCACGCAACACTCAAGTTCTGGACCAAGACAACAGGCCTGAGATGGATGAACAACCAGAACTTTCTGCTGGAGTTTACAGCCGGTGAAGGCAAAGAAAAAGAAGAAATATCCGTTAGTTTTCTGATACCCCTCTTCCCCTCCAACTTTTCTGTTGTCTTAAACTTATCCAGTTTTGCGCTTATCGTGAAATGCCAGAAAAATTAAGCAGCAGCAATCACTGTAGGCACAAAAGTCAAACTTTAAACTATTCAAACACTCACTGGGCTAGTAAACATTATTAATAAGTTGTCATATAATAAACCAGCCAATGCTTTTTCATCTTATTTTTAACGTTCTTCTTCTTCTTCTTCTTCTTCTTCACTTCCTCTTTTACCGCTGTGGGTGTCGAGGGAGATATAAGGTTCTGTTTCTAGCTCTTCTGGCCGCCTCGACCATAGGCACATCGTGCTGTTGTGGAGTTTCTCTGATGTTATCCTTCCATCTTATTCTTGGTCTACCTCGTGCTCTACGTCCTTCTTCTCTTTCCGTGTATTTATATATTTTTAACGTTAACCAGCTTAAAAACTCAAGCAGAAATGTCTAGTTTTTCATTCATTTCTGGACTTTTATCTTGTTCCATAACTTGGGGTTTTTGTTTTGGGTCATGCACATCCACTTTACAGATCTAGCGTATTTGGATCAAAACTGTTGCGTCCTCAGCTCTCAGGCAGAAGCTCTGAAGGAAAAACCGTTAATCTGGCGATTTTATGGCATGCTTGTTGTGGAAGCCGTGGGTCTCCATTTTTCTCACAAAATGGGGTCTCAGAACCCACATGGGATGTTAGTAATTTAATTTAAAAGTCCCCCGTGTGGGTTCCGGGGTCCCATTGTAGGGGAAAAAAAGAATAGACCCATTGCCTCCGCAAAAGCATGTCGTAAAAGTCGACTAATTGAGGAGCTTCCTTTGAAGTCGGAATGCATGTGCGGGAGAGGCAAGGAACCAACAGTCTGTATTCAAGAGAATGAGATCTGTAAAACTGATGCACACACAGCACTCAGGTTTCTGGAGCAGGACTGCAGTTCAGTAGTGGACAAACAACCAGAACTTTCCGCCAGAGTGTACAGCTGGTGAACACGAAGAAGAAGAAGAAAAATTAAAATGTTGTCATAAAACAAACCTGAATCAATAATTCAGTCAGTACAGTGTCATACAACATTGCTGAGTCACTAGTTCAATGAATAAGTTGTCAAAAAACAACAACTTGAGTTAAGAGTTATCAAATTTGTTGAGTTTTCAAGAACCAACATCACAGTACTCAGGGCATTCCCATAAGCAGTTCGTCCCAGTCTTCAGCAGCCAGTTAAAGAGTACCAGTAGCAGTGTGATTGTATGTCCGTCCTGACGTTCCTCTGAGCTCCACTTTCTCTGAGTTCCAGTTCCTCTGAGCTCCACTTTCTCTGAGTTCCACTTTCTCCGAGTTCCAGTTCCTCTGAGTTCCACTTTCTCTGAGTTCCAGTTCCTCTGAGCTCCACTTTCTCTGAGTTCCAGTTCCTCTGAGTTCCACTTCCTCTGAACTCCACTTACTCTGAGTTCCAGTTCCTCTGAGTTCAACTTGGAGCTTCATGGTCTTGAGGCATGGCGTCTGTCTTGAGTGCTGGAGGCCCTGGGTTCAATCCCCATTGAAGGCTTGGATTTTTTCACATTGACTTCTAGTAATTTCTCCTGGTCTCAGGGTAGTAAGATCAGATGCCCGTGTATATTGTTGCGCACATAAGAAATCCCTTGGCAGTTGGAAACTGAAAAGAGTATACTAACGGGGCAGCCTGGGCAAAAATTTAGAGTTAAAAATCTACCCAAAGTGTTTCAGGATCCTCGCTGGTGCCACAGAGTTCGTGCACTGAGCTGAGACTCGGGCTTGAGTTAGAAGTAGCACGGAGCACTTATGGGTTATACCCGAGTGGCATGATGTTGATCCGTCACATAAACATCCTCGAGTCTGGAGCGTTAAACAGATCCATTGGCCTCTCCCTATCAGTTGTCATATTAACAATCTTGAACCAAAAATTCAATAAATACGACTTATAAAACAAACTTGACTAAAACAGCATGTGCTCATTAAGATATACAACAAACCTGACTCAGAATATAGAGGCAGGAGAAATTCCAAAACCTCTGCCATTCTTGGATCTCTGACTTTGCGATCAGATGATGATAACTACGACCTGCATACACAAGTCTCAAAAATGTTTCATCATCAGCATCAGCCAGAACAGACTGTGCCACCTGGCACATGGGGGCGACACCTGTGCCAGCACACAGCATCAGCACACGTCGGAACTAGCGGAAGAAAGAAATTATGAAAAGTGATATTACAGTAATATAGGAATAAGCAAAGAGAATAAACTGTATTATCAGGAAGTCATTGTGTGTGCTGCTGTATGGAGTGAAAACATGGAGAACAACTGAAACAGTTACTAATAAACTCATCATCATCACGTAGCAGGTCCTTTGCAGAACGTCGCTCTCATCACAGTCTGCCTGAAAGAAACTAGGTCTCTCGCCAGTTCTCCCGCCTCATGCATTTTCACATTCAAGGAGTCACCTATATCCTGTGCCCATCTTCGTGTCGGTCGGCCCCTGCCCCCTCCTTCCTGGTACCATGCCTTCTGCTATAATTTTTTCCAATCCGTCGTGGCACTTGATATGACCAAACTATTTCAGCTTTCAAGAAAGGATGCTGTATATTAGCCAATCTTTCTTGATGTTCAAATCTTTTTAGATGTCAATATTTCTCATCTTCTTTGTCCAAGATATTCTGAGAATCTTTCTATAACATTTAAGCTCAAAAGCCCCTATTCTCTTTCTCAAGGACGGAGAGATAGTCCACGACTCACATCCATATGTTGTCAAAGATGCATGCTCTCATAATTTCAATTTTGATCTCCTTGCTGGTGCGTAACCATAGACTTTTAAAGCTGTTCAATCTTTGCATTGGTATGGCCATCCTCCTTTTAATTTCTGTCGAACAGTCTCCACTGTTGTTTATTATAGAGCCTAGATATTCAAAGATTGTGACATTTTCAATTTCTTCATCATTTATTGTTATTTTTGGGTGACAGCCAGTTTTATCTGTAGACATTTTTTTTCGTTGTCTTAAAATTCAAGAACAGATTTTGATCTTCACTGTGCTTTTGGACAGCCAATATTAAATTTTCTATTCCCTTTATGCTGTTGGAAAGGAGGACTGTGTCATCTGCGTAGCGGAGTTCCGGAATAGGGTTGCCACCAATTTTGAGCGACAATACTAATAAACTACAAACATAAATTAACTGGTGCCTGGGCAGAATAGAGGGAATTAAATGGTATGATAGAATCACTGTGAAGCTTTTGGAGAAAACTAAACAAGTTTCATGTGACCAAGAGGTGAAGAAAAGGCAGTGGTGCTGGATAAGACTCACATTGGGAAAACCTGAGAACAATAAAACTAGAATGTCTTTGCAATGGAACCCATAGGGGCATAGAAATTTAGGGAGACCAAAAAACCATGTGGATAAGGGAGCTAGAGAGTAAAATTAAAAAGATAAGAAGGACATGGGCAAAGCTGCATGCGGTAGCAAAGGACAGAACGATCTGGCCTGAGTTGGTTGAAGGCCTATGCTCCATTGGGAGATATAAGTCAGAAGAAGAAGAAGACTGTGTGGATCCAGATACTGACATGTCTAATCTAAATAAGTAAAAGGGACCCTTTTCCATGCCCTTAGGCGTACTGGGCATGTAGGGCTAGACCTATATTTTATAGACCAATCAGCACTCGGTGGGTGATATGGTCAGCATCACTCCAACCACCTTTACTTCCCAGTACTCTACCTGGTACCCATTCAAGGCTGGGTCAACCTGGCAGCCAAGATCAGTTTTTACAAAAGTCTGGCTCAGTCAGGCCCAGAGCCCACGGCCTTCACATCTAAAGATTTCTAAACAGCACGCTGTCTTTACTGGCTGTATTTATCACTCTTAGGGTGATGTAGGTCTGTGGGGTCATGACTCTGAGGAGGATTTAAGGCCACATGGCAAGTACACTCGCCACGTACTATGCAGGTTAGGATTTTTAATTCTGCCCTTACCGAGGATACAATTTGGGTCTCCGGCATGAGAGGCTAGTGCTTTGATAAAATGATATCCCGTTGGGTTCTCGGGCCTCATTGTGGGGAAAACAAGAACAGGCACACTGCGTCGCCAACTAGCAGGTCGTAACAGTCAACTAATCGTGGGTTTCCTTGAAGGTTGAGTGTATCTGCTTGAGAAGCAAGGAACTAACAATCTGCAAACAGATAAGCAAGATCTGTAAAAACTGACACTCCAGTTCCTGGAATAAGACCAAAGTTCAGAACTGGATGAACAACCAGGACTGGAGTCTTCTTCTTCTGCCTTTCTATCCCCCAATGGAGCATAGGCCCTCAACCAACTCATGCCAAGTTGTTCTATCCTTCGCCATTGCATGGAGCTCTCCCTATGTCCTACCCATCTTTCTAACTTCATTCTCCAGCCCTCTTCTCCATGTGTTTTTTGGCCTTCCTTTATTCCTATGCCCCTGTGGGTTCCAATGCAGACATTCTAGTTATGTTGTTCTCCTGTTTTCTCAGTGTGTATCCTATCCAACGCCAGCGTCTTTTCCACACCTCTTGGTCCACTGGAGCCTGTTTAGTTCTCTCCCAAAGCTCTACATTAGTTATTCTATCATACCATTTAATTCCTTCTATTCTGCGCAGGCACCAGTTAATGAATGTCTGTAATTTATTAGTAATTGCCTTAGTTCTCCATGTTTCCGCCCCATACAAAAGTACTGATTTGACATTAGATTTACAAATTTTTAGTTTAGTATTTCTTTTGACCTCCACAATTCCCTAGTGCTATGAAAGCTCCTCTTGCCTTTTGTATTCTTATTTTAATATCTCTATCAGTTCCTCCATCTTTATCTACATTACTGCCCAAATAGGTGTAGGACTCCACCTCTTGGAGTGGGGTGCCATTAAGAGCCGCTGGAGTCTACAGCCACTGAAAGTGAGGAAGAAAAAGAAGACTGCCAGGTGATACAAACAGAAAGAAGATCAGAAGATAACAATCTGACCTTGTTCCGAACATACGCCAACTGCCCTGCTGGTCCTCGAGCTTCTAGTTCATGACCAACCTTCCATGCTGCGACTCTCTGTGACATGCGGCCCCCTGGGTAGATCTATTTTAGAAAATCACAAATGTAAAAGGAAACATCACGGAACAATTGTGTTTGCTGTTGTTCTTTTCTCTGTAAACTCCTGCGGAAAGTTCTGGTTGTTTATTCACTTCTGGACTTTAGTCTTGTTCCAGAATCTTCTTCTTGTTCACCGGCTGTAAACTCTGGCGGAAAGTTCTGGATGTTCGTCCACTTCTGGACTGCAGTCCTGTTTCAGAACCTGAGTGTTGCATGTGCATCCGTGGGTTGGCAGTGGGTCTATTCATGTTTTTCCTATAAAAGGGCCCTTTAACCCACACAGGGAGTTCCAGAATCTGAGTTGTGTTTGCACATCCATTTTACATTTATGGCTTATGTGTATGCAGACTGCTGGTTCCTTGCCTCAGGCAGATGCACCCCGACTTTGAAATAAACAACCCTAATCAGTCGACTCTATGACCTCCTCACTAGGGGGCTGTGGATCTAATCTTTTGTTCCCCACAAGGGGCCCTGAGATCCACACAAGGGGCCCTGAGATCCACACAAGGGGCCCTGAGATTCACACAAGGGGCACTGAGACCCACAAAAGGGGCCCTGAGACCCACACAAGGGTCATGAGATCCACACAATGAGCCCTGAGACCCACACAAGGGGCCCTGAGACCCCCACAAGGGGCCCTGATACCCACACAAGGGCTTTTCGACTTCAGTATGGCATTGTTGACCATCCTCCACCTGTCCTACTAGTAGAAGTAAAGGTCCCTTTTCCACGCCTCTAAGCGTATAAGGCATATAGGGCTGGACCTCTATTTTGATAGACCAATTGGTACAAGATGGATGATGTGGTCAGCATCACGCTGGCCACCTTTACTTCCCAGACTGCACCCGGTACTCACTCAAGGTTGGGTCCACCTGGGAGTCAAGGTCATTTCTGTAAAAAGTCTGGCTCCACCAGGGAGCGAACCCACGACCTTCCGATCAGCACACGAGCGTCTATCCGCTATGCCAAAGCGACTTCTATAAGCAGAAGTGTGTGCGTACCCACACAAAAAACACTTTTAAATATGTGGCGTGTCAGGCATATGATTCTTCTTCTTCTTCTGCAATCATCCAAAGATGCAAATGCATTGCACTTGTCTACAGCAAGGCTCCAATATTTGCGTCTTTCAGCTGACACATCCAGGCGCTTGTTGACCAGGTTAACCTTTCCTGTAGGCAAATGATTCTAGACATATTTTTTAGAGGCTAACTGGCATTTGTGGGTGATGCGGTCACTTTGTAGGTGATGCAGTCACTTTGTAGGTGATGCAGCCACTTTGTAGGTGATGCAGTCACTTTGTAGGTGATGCAGCCACTTTGTAGGTGATGCGGTCAACCTCACTGAATCCCAGGACATTACCTGATATCTATTTAGGCTGGGTTGGTCTGGAGACCAGGGTCATTTTTTTTAAATCCATCCTGGCTTGAATTTGACACCAAGACCTTTAGCAGCAGGCAAGCTTCTATCCAGCGAAATAGATGGGGAACCCTTAAGGCCAAAGAAACATTATACAAAATAATCATACATATAATATATTTATCGGCACTCACAGAAAAAAGTAAAGCAGTTCTAGCCAGTGAAATAGATGGGGAACCCTTAAGGCCAAAGAAACATTATACAAAATAATCACACACATATAATATATTTATCGGCACTCACAGAAAAAAGTAGTGCAGTTCTAGCCAGTGAAATAATCATACATATCATATATTTATCGGCACTCACAGAAAAAAGTAGTGCAGTTCTAGCCAGTGAAATAATCATACATATCATATATTTATCGGCACTCACAGAAACAAGTAGTGCAGTTCTAGCCAGTGAAATAATCAAACATATAATATATTTATCGGCACTCACAGAAAAAAGTAGTGCTGTTCTAGCCAGTGAAATAATCCTACATATAATATATTTATCGGCACTCACAGAAAAAAGTAGTGCAGTTCTAGCCAGTGAAATAATCATACATATCATATATTTATCGGCACTCACAGAAAAAAGTAGTGCAGTTCTAGCCAGTGAAATAATCATACATATCATATATTTATCGGCACTCACAGAAACAAGTAGTGCAGTTCTAGCCAGTGAAATAATCAAACATATAATATATTTATCGGCACTCACAGAAAAAAGTAGTGCTGTTCTAGCCAGTGAAATAATCCTACATATAATATATTTATCGGCACTCACAGAAAAAAGTAGTGCAGTTCTAGCCAGTGAAATAATCATACATATCATATATTTATCGGCACTCACAGAAACAAGTAGTGCAGTTCTAGCCAGTGAAATAATCAAACATATAATATATTTATCGGCACTCACAGAAAAAAGTAGTGCAGTTCTAGCCAGTGAAATAATCATACATATCATATATTTATCGGCACTCACAGAAAAAAGTAGTGCAGTTCTGAGTGTAGTGAGCCAGTCAGACCCTCTGGTTACACCCAGGTGCAGAAACGTTATATATAAAAAACAAACCAACTCAATATTGATCAGCACTCATAGAAAGAAGCAGTGCCATTCCAGCCTCAGCAGCTACTGGTGAAAGAGACCCCCAGTTGAAAAATGAGGCAGCTTTCCAGTCTTGTGATCATTTCAAGAAATCTATTAAGACTTACCAAGAGAAAAAGAACGTTGACATCCTGCATGACCTGAACCTCAAGAACAACTGGCTCACAAACAGCATCCTTTCCTGAAAGCTGCGGAACTCTGGACATGTCAAGCACCATGGTCTTCTGGGGAGAGCAGTGACGGAGGAAGCAGCTTTTGGAGAACAAGGCAGAAGCCAACCTCCTGAAAGTGAACACAGGAGATCAAAGATGCACTGGCTATGAAAGCACACAGGGTTGGAGAACTGGTTAGCGAAAGAGAGACTTTCAGACGTGCCATGAAGAGAGCGATGTTCTGTAAAGCACATGATGACTGACTAACTGATCAATTTCATGAGATATGCCTTGATTCAATCACCAGACTTAGGTACCAGACGAGCCACAATGGACACAACAATGGTTCCGGCAAACAGTACTGCGAAAACATACTGCGAATATTCAAGATTCATAATTACTTTCTCTAAGTAATGTTTGCCCATCTGTTGTTAACTTATTCATTCATTTTTCATTCATTCTTGTCTTCTAACCTTAATAAGCAGTTCAAAGTAGCCCTTGGCATCTAAAGGTGAGATAGGGGTATACTGTCTGGTTACTGGTGAGCCTGAAACTTGGGATCTGTAAATGGAAAACAAACTGTAACAGTAGAGAGAAGATATTTTTAGATGTTGCAGTTGTATGAAAAGTATATACACTGCTTACTGTTTAAGGCCAACTTGGATGTGGCGAATTTCTGTTGAGAACAAGAATCTGTTTCTCCCTGGCAGTGTTTCTTGCTTGAATTCTTAATTGGATAAGAGGAATTACTGATAAGAAGAACCATTTTTTGGGTCCCCAATGAGTTTTCCTTATCCAATGAAAAATATATAGACATATTATCTAGAATACTGCAGACTTTTAATGAAAAGTTTAGATGCAGCAGGCTATCAAGAATATTGCATGATTTCATGAAAAATTAGCATACAGGGAGTGCTTATGTGTTGTGCAATAATGCTGTCTGCTTTCCCTTGAAACATCACGAAAGTTTAGAGAGAAAAATAATGGAGGGGTATATGCCTCGGCAGAGAGGAAGAGGAAGGCCAAAGAATAGATCGGTGCAGGATATGGCGGATGATCTCCAGATGGGTATATCAGACGTGGGACATTTTACTTGTGATCGAGAAGTTTTCCAGAGGGTTGTTAAGGGAGCAAAGGTTCTGCAAAGGAAATGCTACTAACTGACTGACTGGCTTTCAGTATTGCTAGATTCTATTCTGGCTTCCAGTCTAGGGTTTCCCCATTCTAGATAGCATTGTTGCTTCACGTAACCTTGTGGCGCACGTGCACAGCTACCAACTTAGGAAGAAAGACAAATGTCTACAATTAACAACACAGAACGTAGCTCAGGTTGGCATAAAAAAGCAAGAAGGATTATGATGAATAATCAGTACATGTACCTGACAATGATATGCTGCCCCAGTGACAAGCCGAGAGTCTGGTGCCGGGCAAGTCCACAGCGGATCCTGACACAGTCCACGGCTTCAGGTTTGATGTCTTGTACAGGGAAGTGAGTATACTTGCTGGGATGGAGCATCAGCTCCTGAAATACAACCACCCAGTGAGTCTCGTGAGTGTGTGGTCTCGTTGAGCATGTGTATGGTTTGCACACCCACAGACTTGCATGAGGAGTCAGGGTTTGAGTCTGCATGCAGTATTTATACGAATATGGCTGTGCAAATCTGACTGTGGAGTGGGTGTGTGTGTTTGTGTGTCTGCATGCAGTATTTCCACGAATATGGCTGTGCAAATCTGACTGTGGGAGAAGAGAGAGACAGACAGAAAGAGAAAGAGAAAGAGAGACAGACAGACAGAGAGAGAGAGAGAGAGAGAGAGAGAGAGAAAAGAAAGAGAGAGAGAGAAAGAGAAAGAGAGAGAGAAAGAGAGAGAGACAGAGAGAGAGAGAGAGAGAGAGAAAGAGAATGTGCTGAAAAAGAAACTATTGTGACAATACTGCTCTGTTTAGCCATGATGTCATAACTACCCTTTAGTTTTTCATAAGCAGGGTCAAGGGTCATGGTAAGAGTCATGAATTATTATCTTTTTTAGGCCCAAGGAAAAGAAGATGTTTAATTCTCTGTTCCGTTCATGTTTACCAAAAACTCCCTTTCATAAATTTTGAAAAGCTCTGAAACTTGGAGAGATTAGGGCTTATTAAAGTTTTTCGAAAACAGAGTATTACGACAAATCTTTGCATCTATGAAAGATGTAAAAAGCAGGGAATAGAGTGAGAAGCAACAACAAAATTCATAATTGTTTAAATCACCACTGATCATGAAAGCTAATAGACTGAAAAGGTTGGGGCATATTGAGAGAATGTCAGAGAGGTAAAAACTGTATACACAAGGGAGATAAATGGTCGTATACCATGAGGCAGACCAAGAAGACGGTGGAGAGATAATGTCCACAGAGATCCGCAAACACTCAGTGTTACCAACTGAAAAGATAAGGCCAACCAGAGAGATGAATTCAGGCGGGTGATATTTGCAGCAATGAACCTTAACAGCTCGGAATGCTGAAGAAGAAGAAGAACAAGACATTTCATAAAAAATAAAAACTATTAGTGACTTTCTGGACTTCCGGGTTTTCTTTCAAGGGTTACTGAGGCAAAAGGAAAATATTTATAAAATAATTCACCTGCTGCTTAAGAACTTCACCATCATAGATGGTTCCTGCAAGCAATCTCTGACAATCTGCCTCCCATAAAGCCAATTCTTCACGATAAATATCCATCACACATGGAATACAGCCACCTCCACAACAGTCAGAGTCCAGTGGACGTTCTGGGGGATCTGGCAGCAGCTGACATTTTGAGGGATTTGGCAGCAGTGGACATTCTGGGGGATCTGGCAGCTGTGGATGTTCTGGGGAATCTGGCAGCAGTGGATGTTCTAGGGGATCTGCCAGCAGTGGATGTTCTGGGGGATCTAGCAGAAGTGGATGTTCTAGGGGATCTGGCAGCAATGGACATTCTGGGAGATCTGGCATCATCAAACATTCTGGCAGCAGTGGACATTCTGGGCAATCTGGCAGTAGTGGACTTCCTGGGAGATCTGGCAGAAGAAGACGTTGTGAGGGATCTGGCAGCTGTATCCCTTCTTGGGAATCAGGCATTATCAGACATTCTGTGCGATCTGGCAGCAGTGGACGTCCTGGGGGATCTGGCAGAAGCCGACATTCTGGGCACTCTGGCAGCAGAGGACGTTCTGGAGAATCTGGCAGCTGCGGACATTCTACAGAATCTGGCAGCAGAGGATGTTCTGGAGAATCTGGCAGCTGCGGACATTCTACAGAATCTGGCAGCAGAGGATGACCTGGAGGATCAGGCATCATTAGACATTCTGGAATTTCAGGCACCGTTAGACATTCTGGGGGATGTGGCAGCAGCAGACACATTAGTTCAGACTCATCACCTTTAGAAGTTAAGCCTTTGACTATCTCTTTCATAAAAAAGGTTATACAGTTATCAGATGTTGCCAAGGTATGCCTGTACTAATATCAGTCACATGTATAACTAAGGTTTTACAATTCTGAGGTGATGTTGACTCTTGCAATATTCTGTCAGTCTACAAGTCACAACAAATAAACTCCCTAAGACCATACTACTCTATGGTAATTTTTTTTTTTTAAATATACAACAATCACATCAAAGAAATTCCAGTCTTGTATTAACAATTTTAATACACTTCAAAGTGAAAATTCAACTATTTTAGAAGTGCCTGAGTTTAAATATGCATTTTTCTTGTGGTTCTTAAAGTTTATTCAGAATAATATATATGATATTTAAAACCCCCCGTGTGGGTTCCGGGGCCCTATTGTGGGGAAAACAAGAATAGACCCACTGCCTCCCCAAAAGCATGTCGTAAGAGTCGACTAACTGGGGAGCTTCCTTTGAAGTCGAAGTGCATCTGCCTGAGAGGCAAGGAACCAGCAGTCTGCATTCAATAGAATCAGATCTGTAAAACTGATGCACATGCAACACCCAGGTTCTGGAGCAGGACTGCAGTCCAGAAGTGGACAAACAACCAGAACTTTACGCCAGAATGTACAGCTGGTGAACGCAAAGAAGAAGAAGAAGATATTTAAAATTCACTAGAAATCGCGTCAAGTATAATTAACAAAAACAAAAACTACCTAATAAAATCCCTAATTAACCAGATCTTAATTGGCAATGATTAATCAATTTTATATATATATATATATACCCAAGCGATTTGATGGCTTGGTGAATTTAGTTATTTCGACAATGGTACAATCATCGAGCCACTCATAGAGCAAAGGTTAGATAGTGGACGTAAGATTGCCTCGTAAAACAACCAACACTAATTGCTAAAGTTGGTTTGCAATGTCTTGTAAAGGATATGCAACTAACTTTGAAAATGAATTATTCGTCAAATAATCATTACAAGTGTCGTTTGAAATAAGTGCCGATCTAACTGTTGGTGTTCACACTGGCAGCTTGTGGTTTTGCTTCCGACAGTGGTAGCCCATACTGCAGACAAGTCCACCAAGAGAAACCTTCTTTAACTTGTCTCTTGTGACCATTGATGGCCTGGGAGGGAACAGTTTCTGATGACAAAGGTGGCCTGTCACTCAGGCTAGCCTGATGTCCCTGTGGTACATTTATTCTTTTTTGCCTCATTTCCCATTTAAAAGTTCCAGCAGAAAGTTCTGGTTGTTCATCCACTTCTAGACTTTCGCCTTGTTCCAGAACGCAAGCATTTTAAGTACACATCCAATTTAGATTTGAACTCTAGATATTCAGGACTGAGGGTGAACATCTAGCCCCTCTGCTACCACCATTCACTACTGCCCCTAAACACCCTTTAAATAAAGTGGAAGTTAAGCTGAAAGACTTCTTTTTTGGCCCTCCTCCGAACTTCTACCCCAGCATTATGGCGGCCAAACAAATACCCTAACAGGGCCTCAGTCCTATGAAAAATGCGGACTGTCTGACTTCCTGCTGAGGAACAAATCGCGACAAAACTAGGATCGGCTCTGAATAATGAAACAAATACTCTAACAGGGTCTCAGTGATATGTTAATTACGGACCTGTTTCTGCAACTATGCTGCACCGCCGACAGTATCCCCCACACTGCTATGCAGATTTTTGGGGATATGTTGTTCTGTCACATATCACTCCTGTCGCGTGCCTAATGTAAGGATTTCTCCTTCAGAACCAACAGCACTCAGAGATAATTATGTTGAGTCGTTTGGCTCGTATTGGTCTAAGGGATTCCCCGGGGCCAATATACGATCAACTTATCTCTGGAGTAGGGCAACTCAAGTATTGGCACTACAAAATATGTCAGTATATGAATACAATATTTCTAGGCACACTTGGCTGGACACCCCCACTACTTACTAAAGAAAGCCCCCAGGTTATGATAGGTCATTATTATAACCATGTTAACACATATAATGAAGATACATACACACACAACTGCTAAACACTTAAGAAGGTGACATAGAGAAACCTAAGTCAGCCATGAAAATGAATGCATGTAATCAGTATATTATGGATTTACATATAATAATGAATTGAATTCCAGCTATCAGTGGAAGAATCTCAGCAAATAATGTCTAGATCCCGAGGAAACTATACAGACAGCCGGTCCTGGAGGTGACTAAATGTCATCATTGGGAAACAGATGAGCTGTGATGTAAAAAAGCACATGAAGCCTCAAACTTAGCTTCTTCTTCCTGTTTATGATGTCTTCCTCCGCTCCGGATGATTCGACTGTCTTTGACTCTGGGAAATCTGCTCCACTGGATCAAGTAGTCAGAGAGTACCTCACCATCGAGGACACAATACTGCTCTGGTATTTAGCAAGTCTCTATCACCAAGTAGAATACACACTGTCTTTGAGCTACCCTAAGCTCTAACACTGGTAAGCTGTTTGAGGTACAATCTCCCACATGTTGGAGATGTCAGGAACCTTCACAGGTGTTAGCTGGAGGGTAGGTGGTTTCTGGATTTATGGTGGGTTGATTGGTCGTGGCGCGGATGGGGGCTAATCTAGATGGCTGAGACTCACGAGCAGCAGCTACCGCATCTCCTGCAAATTCCTCTAATTTATTTGCTCGTAAGTCCCAGGCATCTAGTTTAGATCCTCATCCGCGCCGCGCACAGCGGCGCAGGGAATACGCTCAGTGGTGAGCATAATCGGAATAACACTATCGCTAATCTGAGTCGGAGCGCGTGGTCTCCCCGCCATGTCGCTATTATCGTCTGTAATGTTGCGTGTCTCGAAATTGTCAATGGTCGCTAGTATCGTCTGCAGAAAAGCTCAAAATTGTCAACGGTTGCTATTGTCGTCTGCTACTATCGTCTGCAGTGTTGCGTCTCTTGAAATTGTTAGGTAATCCGGCGCTTCTTTGATTTATTCCCCAAAATGGCGGCATGCCCCATTCTGGCCATAAAATATCCAAAAATATCCGAACGACGGTGTTCGCGTATATCTAAAATATGGACTTTCTACCAACGAACAAATCGCGACAAAACTAGGATTACTTGACAACCAATATCAACATTTGCACACGGTACTAGTAGCAGACGATAAATACCGACCGTTGACAACAATTTCGAGCGTTTCTGCAGACGACGATACTAGCAGACGATATTAGCGACCGTTGACCAATTTCGAGACATTAGAGACGATGAAAGCCGATTAGCAATACTGTGTTCTTCCGATTGGAGGATTTAGCAGCGGTAGATGTCAGACTTGTCGGCATGCGCCAAACGCGATTAAACTCATCGCCGAGCGTATCTAGGTGCCTGGGACTCACGAGTACAGTAATTGGAGGAAGTTGCAGGAGATGCGGTAGCTGCCACTCGTGAGTCCCAGCCATCTAGTTTAGCCCCCATCCGCGCCGCGCGTAGCGGCGCAGGGGATACGCTCGGCGGTGAGGCACACTCGCAGAAACAGGTCGGCAAGCAACGTATCGCCCAGACCCTGTCAGAGCATTTGTTTCGTTATTCGGAGCCGGCACATATATTTTTAATAGAACTGACCCCGCATTTGGATATTTTTGGATATTTTATGGCCAGAAATTGGCCAATTTAGCTCCTTTATGAACGCCATCATATTACAGCCGCCATTTTGGGGAACGATTCAAAGAAGCGCCGGTAATCCTAGTGTTCGTCGCAGGAAGTCTGCATTTTTCATAGGACTGAGGCCCTGTTAGGGTATTTGTTTGGCCGTGGAAAAAGTTTGGAGGAGAGCCTTTTTTTAATACATATAAAACTTTAAAAGTCACTTACTGCTGCCATTCATTTTTGTCTGTGAATTAGATTGATTTCTCCCGAGGAACCAGATGCGGCGATTCGGCAACTGATCGCTTTGTGTTGATTAAACAGGGATCTTGAGAGTCGACTGTTTGGAAGCAATGGCAAACTACTGAACGTAAAACTGCTTAGTGACTTAGTGGAATCACAGACTCCTCACACACAATATTACTGGCGGGGTTGGTTCTGAAACGTTCTGTATAATTAGTCGCGTACTAACTACTATGTATCCTATCCTATACTATAGGATATGATGATTTGTTGGCACACATTCGAACGGGCAGAGTCGTAATAGATGCATACAGATACACAAAAGACGTACGTGGATATCTGAAAAAGTGTGTGTTTTGTGTAATAGATTTAGACGTCTATGCGAAGCTACTGTGTCATTGTAAAACTTCTTGTTGTGGCGGTGGTTCTGTCAAAAACCCAGATGGGGCTGACGAAAACCCAAGATATGAACAAAAAATAAAATAAAACAACCCAGCATTGTGCAAAAAAGTATTTTATAGTTATGAAACTGAACATATACCCACCTTTATTAAACTGTTACTCTAACAGCTCTCCTTCTTCACCAATTTCAATTGTCACCGTCTCTTTCTGTATTTTCATTATGTTTAAATATCTTTGACTAACTGCGCCACTTTGCAATTCTTTTTGCAATTCTATATTAGGTGTCCATGTCGTGCAGTCGCTTTT